TATTAGGGTTTCCTAGTAACATGTCCCATATAAAATAGAAAAAAAAATAAGAATAGGGGGCATGTGAGATTCATTTGTAAAAAAGTCATTTTGACTAAAAAGATTCGGCACTCTCTTGAGACAAAGATCACCTTTTCACTGCAATTCTTGTCTACACTTTACCATCAGATCCAAGAGATCCTCGATCATTCGAGGTGTTATCTGTCAATCGTTGTCAAGGGAGAAGGTCCATTTATTCCACTCTTTATTGAATGAATCATTCTTCCTATTTACTTTAATGTCATTTATTGTTGTTCATTAAATATTGCATGCTACAGTGCTATTCCCGATTTTCCAGAACGTTTATCACGTGATACTTCTACTCTCCGACCGAATCCATTTGATATCTATTGCTTCTTGTAATACTAAGATCTAAAATATTATTGTTAGATAAAATTAGCCCTTATTTGTACAAATTTAATTATTTGAATCAAAGATTTATATATTTGGTCAAACACATTCAACCTTTAATTATTTGTCTTCTGAAAATGTGATCTTATATTTTATTTTTGTTCTTAGGATACGATATTATCTAATTCATTCATCTACTTTTACAAAGTAAAAGATAAACAAAATTTACATAATCAGCTTCTCTCCACACGTACAACAAGACATTCTAAAACAGGCCAGCAACACATTCATGGTTATTTAAGACTGCATGTGACTCCTGTAGTACTAAGCCGCAAATTATTTGTCCATTATGTTTAAGAGGTGAATTATTTGTGCTTAATACCTGTTAATGGAAATGCATTAATTAGTATGTCCTATATGAACTAGAATTGGGTTCTCAGCTACATATTGTAGAGTGTAGACATTGACTACTTCTTGCTAGACAACAGATCATAGAGTTAAGCTAGCACGATAGACATGTAAGATGGTTAGCCAACCTAAGTAAAGGTGAATCTAATTAACATTTTATTAAGTGAATATGTGTGAAGTAATATTGTATTCATGGTCCCCTTTGTAGATATTTTTCAAGTTACCTTGATAAGTAATTATTAAAATTCGTCCTAAAAAATTGAATGACTCTTAAAACATAATATTTAAAAGTGCTAAATAAACTGTATAAATAGAAGAATAGCCTGTTTGGCCATGCTGCAAAATCAGCTTATTTTAAGAAGTAATTTTTCTCAAAAGTGCTTTTCTCAAAAGTACTTTTGGTGAGAAGCAGTTTATGTTTGGCTAATTAATTTGAAAATCACTTCTGAGCAGCAATTAGTGTTTGGTCAAGCTTTTAAAAATTGTTTCTAAGTGTATTTTTCTCAAAGGTGCATTTGAAAAGAAACTACTTTTTTCTACTTCTCCAAAGTTGCTTCTGCTTCTTCTCAAAATCACTCTTTTTTTTCTTCCAAAAGCTTGGCCAAACACATCAACTTTGAAAAAAGCACTTTTTTGAAAATAAAGTGCTTCTAGGATTGGAGAAACTTGGCCAAACAGGCTAGAATACTCTAATTACAAACTCAATCAGGTAGACGGTGTTAATTCAATTACGCTAACAATTTCTATATCAGTTGTCTCAATAGAAAAAGTTTTTCAAAACTAAATCAATAAAGTTCAACATGATAACACAAGAGTGATTAAACAAATTGGTTAGACATCAGCAATAATTAAAATTGATTATAACTTCTTAAGATTTTGATAAATTATAAGAGTTAAAAATAATAATTAAAAATTTAAGACCTCACTTTTAATTTTCTCCTTAGGCCCCATATTATGTAGAGCCGCCCCTGGTCAAACTCCTTTTCCATGATTAACACATCGTTAAAAAGCTTTTATTAAATATTTCAACTTTAAAGTTTCTTATCTAAAGTACAATTCATATAGTTTTTAAATATGTATTTTTTATTTAAAAAAATTAAAAAAATTAGTTTATTAATGGTTTATATTCATATAGAAAATAATTAGACTTGTCGATCCTTGTATTCCGGGGGATTTGTATCTATACCCGCTTTTTGGGTCACGTTTTAACTTATATCCGCTTTGCAAAAAAAAATTGCAAGCGTACCCACTTTTTCGTGTAACTTCAGCATACGGGGCTGAAGTAGCAAAGGCAATCACGCAAACTTCACCATTCTAGTAGACGGGCCTGAAGTAGCAAAAATTGCTGAACCAAGTGTGCTGGAGTTTTTATTTGTTAGCTGAAGTTTTGTTCTCTATTTGCTGAAATTGTTGTTTGTAATTGCTGAACTTAAGCATTCTAGTAGCTGAAGTTTTGTTCTCTATTTGCTGAAGTTTTTGTTTGTAATTGCTGAACTTCAACATGTTTTAGCTGAAGTTTTTCACGTAAACTTAGTGTTGGCTGAAGTTTTTATTTGTAATTGCTGAACTTAAGCATTCTAGTAGCTGAAGTTTTGTTCTTTATTTGTTTAACTTCAGCATGTTTTAGCTGAAGTTTTATATTATTAATGGAGAAAGTTCAAATTATATATTCAAGACGACATTTCTCAACAATAGCAGTGTCATACTCAGTCTTTAACTTAGAATATTCCTGCTCCAGTTTCTTGTTTTTATAACGTGCCCTCCTGTTCTGAAACCAAACATTAACTTGGTGAGGATCAAGGCCAAGCTCAGAAGCAAGCTTGTCCTTCCTCTCTGTCTCCAGTTTGTGTTCGTCCTCAAAGCTCTGTTCAAGAAGATTAACCTGTTCTTCGCTAAACTTCCTCTTCATATATATAATTTCTAGTTATTTTTCCTTCGTTTAATAGTTTTATTTGTAATTTGTTTTTAAATAATCTAATAAATATACTTATGACAATCATCCCCATGAACTGAAGTTTCATAGCAGCACCAACAGCAGTAGAAGAAAGAAGAAGAAGATGAAGAAGAAAACGAAGGGGGAGAAGGAGGAGGAGAAAGGGGGCTGAAGTAGTTCAAAAAGTGGGTACAGGTTAAAACTTTTAAAAAAAATGGTATAGGTTAAATGTGGGCGATCAAATAGGGCGCCCCGTGCAATTTTTACTTGTATTCCAGACTCAAGTTATTTGTTTTTGTATGATAGGAGGCTAACAACTAAGGGGTCGTTTGGTAGGAAAATAAGTTATCTTATGATTAATTATTTCAGGATTAATTTTTCTAGGATTAGTTATCCCACCCTCCCATAAGGATTAAAAAAAATACTATAATTCCGGAATAACTAATCTCGGGATTAGTTATACTACGATTTTATCCCAACAAAACTTGGGATAAATTCATCTCAAATTTAATTATAGGATTAATTATCCCTTATCGCTCGTACAAACGAGTCCTAAGTACTCTTTTCGTCTTAATAGTGGTTTTCGAATTTCAAAAGTAATAAGAGATTTTCTCTATTGTGATTTTTCTATATATGTTTTAAATATTTTAAATTATTAATTGTGACTTATAATACGTTTTATGTAATTTTCAAATACGTACGTTTATATTTTAGAAAATGAAAAAGTTTTATGTCCGAATTCATGATCAAAGTTAAAAAAAATTGATTCTCAAAATCTGAAATGTGACTCATAAATTGGATAAGTGGGAGTAATATATTACTTTTCATAAATTTATAATGACTAGCCTTAAAGTACGCCCGTTGCGCGTGTATTTTATGTCAATGATTTATAGATTATAAAATTACATAGATATTATTCACAAAAGTATCTGAATTATTTAATATAAAGTTAAAAAAATCAAATTTCTAAAAAAATGATGAGCATTAATCACATTTATCCAACTTAATAAAAGAAGATCTATGCTCCGCAAATACCCTATTTTGGACTTTCATTAGGGATATATTTAGGTTCTCTGACCATACTTTCTAGGTAGACTCGAATGAAGTAGCAATTAATGCAAAAACAACCAATTGGAAAGCAAGAGTCATGTTTTTAATCCTCCAAGCTACCAACTAATGAACTATACCATTTGATCCATCTATTAGCCAAAAAATATTAATTGTGATAAATAAAGGTTGGTACTTTATTTTGCTCAAAATTTGATATTTGTTTGCAATTACATGTAATACATATCCGGTAGTTAGATTTATCGACACTATGAGCGACCACAAATCTCTATGACAACAATTTTGATAAGTATTTTATTAACATTTCTTATAAAAGAATAACTTGACATAGCTAATATTTTAATATTGCCAACCTTAAAACTTTAAAATTTTAGCGATCTAAAATAATCGTGAGCCCCTAAATGTGTTTTTGTACAATTTGGTTTACGTTTCCGTTTCTTGGTATCTTAAAGTGGAAGACTTCTAATGTCACCTGGAGTATTGTTATCTAGGCGAAATAACAATCCCTAGAAATTATAAATTCTTGTGAAAAATAATTTATCCGACTTATACAAGTAATCTCGCTGTAACTAAATTTCTAATATTAGGAGTTCTTGTATAGTTCAAATAGAAAAGATAAAATAGTCAAAACTTCAGTTAATTTTATTGGTCTACATATAAAAATAATAATTAAACGATAATTTTTTCCAATGTAATATTTATTTTTAAATGATTAAAAGGTCGATCGATTTTGCATTAAAATTTCGTACTTTTATAATACTTTAGATTGATTGAAGAAGATAAAATTAAAAAACAATGAAACATTATCCTATATATTAGCAGTTTTTAATTTTAGCCTCATATTAATTACCACACAATTAGAATGAGTTAATATAATTTGTTGCAAATACTAAGTGAAGTAAACTTGTTCTCCAACAAAAAATTCATTGATGTTAAAAAATATTTTTTCCATTATAAATACAATTCGAACTGCCATATATTTTTTCCAGTATTCATTGTGTGTAAGTCACACAATAGGTTAGAGAGAAATACTCCTCCTTCTCTCTAGAAGAAGAGCTCTTCTCCTTTCCATTCTCCCACTTCTAAAACACTTGCCTACTCCCACTCTTAGCTTCCCAAAATCTCTCCTCTAGACTTGATGAACACCAATGAAGAGAATCCCCCGGACCAAAACAACATGTCCAAAAATAACTTAGTCAATATGATTTCATCACAGCATGCACCAGACGAGCGTGTAACCACAGGGATAAATCTGGTTTCCTCCATCACTAATCCTATCCCAATGAACATGGAGATAAGCAAAGAAACTCCCTCGGCAAAAACTGAAATAAAATCAAAAGACATAACAAACACGACTAAGAGGATGACTTTCCTAGACACCTTGGTAGCGGGTAACGATGCTTATAAGGAACCTGAAGGAAGCCAAGTCACAGTCCAAACAAATATGGCCTCCTATGTAAACGAGGATGAAACAAACAACTATCCTAACTCGGAACTCTTGATACCCATTACCTCATCGGACAAGGATCATACATATAAGAACTGGTCAAACGCTCTTATTATCAAAATGTTTGGGAGGAGAATAGGCTACCAATTTCTCCAAAAAAAACTCCATGCTATATGGAAACCAATTGAATACCTATCCCTAATAGACTTGGGATGCGACTATTATCTAATAAAATTTACCAAAGAGGAAAATTATAACAAGGCCCTTCATGAAGGTCCATGGTTCATAGGTAACCAATTTCTTACAGTAAGAAAATGGGAGCCTAGGTTCGTAGCATCTAAAGCTGCCCTAACTTACTCAGCTATATGGGCAAGGCTTCCAGAACTACCCACAGAATTTTATGACTACGAGATCCTTCAAAAAATTGGACAGAAGCTGGGACAGCTAATACGCATTGATGCTCGTCTTTGTGTTATGGTACCTATTGAAAAACCCCTTAAAACCTTTATTGTGATTGGTAAGCATATTCAACAAATTTGCTACGAGGGCTTCAATCTCTTATGCACGAATTGCGGCAGACTTGGCCATAACGTCAACAATTGCCCTCATCATTTACCAAAACCAGTAGAGGTTCAGGAAGCAAGTTCTTCCAACCCCATGGCTAAGCCTCACATGGTAGATACACTAACCCAAGAAATAAACCAATGGACAATAGTCTCACACTAAAAGAAAAATAAAAAAATAGCCCAAAACCCTCCCAGAAACGATTTGGACAAACATAGGACAATGACTATCCCTAAGAACAACCCCAGTACCCAAAAATGGCAAAAGGCTGAAACAAAGGCAGGACAAAAGCAATCTATTACTGTTGAGGACAACAAGAACATGATGGACATAAGGTTAACGACAGCTAACGATGTAATCTTACCTATAGCCCAACTCCAAAAAGAAAACAACATGGTACCTAATGACTATGCACATCTACATCTCATTAATAACTCCACTCCTTGCCTTTACCCTAAGGATATTGATACTACTAATATAGGAGTCATTAACTCAAACCATAACTCACAAAGCCCCTTGGGCAATAACTCTCACAAGACATCAACCCCTATAGCCTGCCCCTTAGCTCCCTCATCTAGTTTGACGGTTGAGAAGAACAAATTACAAGGCATGGACATAGACCCTAAGATACCTACAAAAAGCTCTATACCCTCTTTAATGCATAACCTAGGCAGCCCACATATAACATTACCCACCCTGCCTATGAATGAGGCCAAAATCACACAACATATCCCTAGTACAAATCAAACTCAAACTAGGTCAACATCAAGTCACAACACCATTAATGCACAAGACCCTTCAACCCCTAGGAAAGACAAATCTCTAGTCCCTCACGTTGACCCTCACTCTAATATTACGGCCAGAAGCTTTTCTCCATCAAACAATAGTAAACCCAAAGTCTCAACAAACCAAACCTTGAAAAAGAAAAGCTTGCATGATGCCAAGGTTACCCCTCAATCAGAACAGAAGGTACAACCGGACAAGGAGAAACGTTTGGATGAGGCCTCAATCTCCACCACAACCCCAAACACCAATGATCTTCACCACCAGGCCAATACAACCGGATCATGTCCCCCAATCTTGGCTGGAATGGGGCTTAATGGGACATGCACTCAACATCAATCTTCAACTAGAAGGGAGGGATCTCATAATACAAATAGGGGATCCCTCATACTTGGCCCAAATTGTGACGGAAGGAATGCAACTAGGTTTGAACAATGTGATGATACGTCCATGGTTGAGTCCCCAGCAGCCCATGCACATGAATATGGGTCCCCATCCATCCCCTTGGAGCTCCCATGTAGGTTACCAACACCCCACTCTCCTCATGCACAATCCGAACCTACCAATGTACCCTCCCCATGCAAACTCTCAAACCCCACTCCCCAACTCCCTTTCTGCCCAAACCCAACCACTATCTCAACCCAACATCATTACACACACGACCCCTTTGCCCAGGACAACACCACGCACCACTCCTCAAGTGTCGAACCAAACACACACAGTAATACCACCCTCAACCCTCCAAGGATCGAACCAAACCCTAACAATACCTACAACCCCATTAACTCAGAACCAGAATGTGATGGAAAAGGGGGAAGAAGAGGAAGAAATTCCAACAGAAAGAATAGTGGAGCACGGAGTATTAAGATACCCAAAAACAATGGCATTCCAAGCAAGAAGAGAAAAAAGATTCATCTTAAGTTGCCCAGTGGATTTGAGGAAATGCTCTATCTCTATAAGGAAGGTGAATCCACCGAGCATCTACCAACATGCAGTGGTGCTAGTACCAACGATGTTCACTCACTATTGGACACAACAGGAAATGATGAGGAACGACAACAACTCCTCAAGTAGCCAGGATAGGGGTGTATCAACTAGAAACATTAGCATGAATATGATTATTTGGAACTGTCGTGGAGCAAACAGTGCTGACTTTAGAAGAGCGCTTAGAGCTATGCTGGATTATCATCGTCCTAGTTTAGTAGCATTGCTGGAAACAAAAATGGAGGACCACCATGTATTGGTTCATGATTTCGGGTACTCTAGCCTAATCCAAATGCCGGCTAATGGGAACTCGGGAGGTATTGTGCTCATGTGGAACAATGGAGACACGATGGTCGATCAAATTGGAGGAACGGATCAGGAGATACACGCCATGGTAATGGTACGAAACTCAACAAAAAAATGGTTATGTTCTGTTATATATGCTAGTAATCTTATGGAAGAACGTTTAATACTTTGGGAAAATTTAAAAACAATAGCTAAAAACTTTAAGGGTCCATGGCTAGTAGCGGGAGATTTTAATGAAGTCACCTGTGCATCGGAAAAACTAGGTGGTCTTCCTATTAACTATAATAGAATATCTAAATTTTTGGACTGTATGAATAACTGTGGACTTGTGGACTTAGGTTTTAAAGGGTCAAGATTCACTTGGACTAATAAGAGCAAAAATTGTAAAATCATTATTATGGAAAGGCTTGACAGATGTATTGCAAACACAGAATGGTTAGAACTATTCCAAGACGCAAATGTGAAACATTTAATTAGAAGCCATTCGGACCACTGCCCAATAAAGATTGAATTTTTTAAAAGCTTCTCTACCGGTAATAATATATTTAGAATAGAGACTATGTGGCTGTCACATCCCACGTTCAGAGCTTTAGTTGAAAATTCTTGGTCGCACCAACCTAATATCACTAAAGCCATAGAAAACTTTTGTCTAAAAGCTTTCGACTGGAATAAAAACACCTTTGGTAATATTTTCAAAAGGAAAAGCAAATTACTGGCTAGATTAAATGGAATCCAGAATTCCCAAAACTACCCCCATAGCCAATTCCTAATAAATCTGGAAAATGATCTCCTTCATGAGTATAATATTGTACTCAGGCAAGAGGAGGAATTTTGGAAGCTCAAATCCAGGATTCAATGGATCCAGGACGGTGATGCGAACACAAATTTTTTTCACATTACCACCATGCAAAGGAGGAGGAAAAATAGAATTATTTGTTTAAGAGACGAAGCAGGTAATTGGATCCAAGAACAAAAAGCCATCAAGGTCCATATTACTGACTGCTACAAAAATCTCTACACCACAGATCTTAAGCAATCCCTTCTTAATAATACCCATCTCTCCTACTACTCCACTATTAAGGATCAGGATCACACTTTTCTTAGTAGCATCCCCTCTACAGCAGAAATTAGGAGGGCTCTAGATTCTTTTCAACCTTACAAATCTCCGGGACCGGATGGCCTCCACCCGGTTCTGTATCAGAAATATTGAAAAGAGACTAGCAAATTTCTCATAAAATTTTGCCAGGACTCCTTCTCAGGGAAAAACAGGGAAAAAGATGCTTAAAAGTATGAATAATTCACTAGTATGTCTAATCCCAAAAAGTGAAAATGCTGAAACAATTAGACAATATAGACCCATAAGCCTTTGTAATACGGCCTATAAAGTCGTCACTAAGATTATTGCAAACCGCATTAAATCTCTCCTGCCCACCCTGATTCATCCTACCCAAACTAGCTTCATAAAAGGGAGAGGGGCTGCGGATAATGCACTAATCATTAATGAGGTACTTCATCACTTCAAGAATACTAAAGGGAATAAGTCAAAAATGATGATCAAAATAGATTTAGAAAAGACATTCGATAAAATAGAATGGTCCTTTGTCAGATTTTCCCTAATCTCCCTGAACTTCCCTCCGGACCTTATTAAACTCATTATGTCCTGCATCTCCACCACCTCAACCGCTATCCTTATTAATGGATCTAGAACGGAGTTCTTTGAACCATCCAGGGGTATTAGACAGGGGGACCCCCTATCCCCATACATCTTTATCATTTGCATGGAAATATTTTCTAGGTTAATTGACCACGAAATAGACTGCTGCAGATGGACCCCAATAAAAATTAGCCCCAAAAGCCCGGAACTCTCACATCTCTTCTTCGCTGATGACCTCATTCTCCTAGCTGAAGCCAACCAAAAAGGCTATAGCTCTATCATAGACACTATCAACAAGTTTTGCAACGCTTCGGGTCAATCTATTAATTTTGACAAGTCAAAAATTGTGTTCTCAAAGAATACTCCTAGTAACCAAGAAGACCTCATAAGCAGATGTTTTTCCATGAATTATACTGAAAACTTCGGAAAATACCTAGGCTTCCCTATGACAAGCACTAATCCCACAAAAAAGGACTTCCAGTTTATCCTGGATAAACTAAACAACAGATTAACTGGCTGGAAAACAAAATTCCTAAGTATGGCAGGTAGGACAACCCTCATAAAAGCCACCCTAGCCGCAATTCCAAACCATGTCATGCAAATTTATGACCTCCCCAAAACAATACTCAACAAGATTGACTCAATTCAGCGGAATTTCCTCTGGGGTAGCACGGAGGAAAAGAAGAAATGCCACCTTATAAAATGGAGTATAGTTACAATGCCTAAAAAACAAGGGGGTCTAGGAATTCCTAACACCCATATGGAAAACTCCTCCTTCAATGCAGCACTAGTGTGGAGGTACAGGGAAGAGAAGGAAAACTTATGGGCTAAAACTATCTACAGTAAATACAACCACAGGAAGAGCTTGAATATAGGTTCCCACACGTGGAAAGTTATAAAAAAGGGCAATGAAATTCGTAATGCTAACACTAAATGCTTAATTGGAGATGGAAAAGCCATAAATCTCTGGCAGGACAAATGGATTAATCAATCAGGAACTCTTAGGGAATCCATCCAAGGTCCTATTCAAGCTGGGGAGCTTGACAAAAAACTATCCTGCCTCATTATAAATGGAAAGTTTGACCTCAGGAACCTATCCTTTGAACTACCCCGGACATAGTCTCCAAAATTAATTGCACATACATAAAACAAACTGGTCCCTTTGGGGACTCTTACACTTGGAATTCCACAAACCACAACTTCTTCTCAATCAAAGCTGCATATGAAGCTGTCTCGGATTGCACGGGCAACCCTAAAAACTTAGCCTGGATTTAGGAAAGAAACTCTTTAAATAAATTGAAATTCTTCCTGTGGACTATTTTTTGGGATAGGCTACCCACTAAAGAGATGCTAAAAAAGATAGGAATTTTCCAAGAAGATACTTGTAATATTTGCAACAGAGAACGGAGAACATAGAGCATATTTTCTTCGGATG